TTGAACAAGGAAAATGGGTGGTTCTAACTTAGGTCAAAACCAGGACATCCTCTCCCCACTGCCAGATGAAGGCACCTGCTAGGGCCCTAGTTTCCAGAATCACAGGAGAAACTAAAACAGCCTCACTTTTTCTATTATGAATGCTAGTTTGCAGGCTGCAAACAGTAGGAGGGGAAAAAGAAGGTTGCAGACCTCTTACCACGATACAGATTATAGCAGAAAAGATACAGAGAACATCTACACAGTACCTCAGCTTCCTGAAACCCAGGGGTTCAAACATCTGCTTCTACAAGTCCTTTAAGAGACAATTCAGGCTGCTTAGAAATCCCACCTGCTTCATTGTGAGCAACACTGGGGCCCTTCCAAGGGGGTTTCCAGAGCCAACATGGGTGAGGGAACATCATGTCAAGGGCAGGTGGAACAATGTGGATGATCAGTGAATTAAGCCAAGAGGCTCTCCTTAAGACACAGTGTCTGTGTAACTGGACATCCCCTAGCAGAGGGTATGGGGAAGAAAGTGCACAGAGGGTTCTCACCATGAAAGAAGTGGTACCGGGGAAGCACATCCCTTTGCATGAGGCAGAAGCTGGGTTTTGCAGGGAATCCACAGAACAGAGGAGGCTGAGAGAGTGGCCATGGGAAAAAGGAAACGTGAGGGACCTCTAAGCTGCCTCTGTTCTGCTCCCCTCCTGAGGGAGTCCCCTCCCCCCTTCCCTCCTCCAGCCTGGGGGTCAGGCAGGGTCTGGAGATGCCTCCAGCTCTGATCCCTTGCTGTTCTCCCTTCCCTGCCTGGGCCTAACCAGCTCAGTCACAATGTGTGACTCACTGCTGGGGTGAGACGAGTTGAAGCCTGTGGCAAGCGGGGGCGATCCCACTGAAGACAGAGTAATTGCCTCTGCAGTCCTCTCTGACCCTGACCCCACATGAAAGCCGCTTTCTCCAAAACCCTCTCACCCATGCTCAAGAGAACAACAGCCCAACCAGTCCCCACAACAAGCCATCCTCTGTTGTGAAGCCCTTGCTGTTGGATTTCAAGTGGTGAAAGTGTCCTGCCACTCTAGGAGTCATTAGTTGCCAAACAGTTGAGATTAGAGATTAAAGATTCTGGAAAGAAAATAACAAGCAGAAGTAAACCAACAGCTGGTCTCAGGATCAGAGAGGAGTCCCAGGCCATGTGGGCATTTGGGGACATGGCCCATAAGATGAGGGTGGTTGGCTAGCTCTCAACTTCATGAGACAATCCTTGGCTCAGGGAGCTCCCAGTATAAGCGAATGGAGAGAACGGGAAGAATGAAGTGAGGTGATTTACCTAGGGCTCTCAAACAACCATGGGCTGAGACCTGGGACCCAACTGCTGAACCCCAGCCTCGTGCATTTTCCTCCTCTTGGGCGTACCACGGTCTTGATAAACAAGTAACACTTGTTTCTGCAGCTGCTACTTCTAAGCTGGAAGAAGTTCTCATGTATCTCTCCCCATGTGTCTGTTCCCATTAATATCAATTTAAAAAGAACCTCACTGCTTTTTCATTGACATCCTCGCTGCCAGCCATACACAATTATACAGAAGAAATAAGAGGCTTTAGCTGTAATTATGGTTTTGCCTATTTTGTAGAGAAGTCATCCTGTGAAGACTGACACAGCTGAATATCTGCCCTGGTCACCAACCACACCAATTCTCTCAGTGGGAGTTTTACGAGGGAAAAATTAAATTGCAGCTGTATAATACATTGAGCGCTCAGAGGCAGGCAGTGCCAGTGATTATCCAGCAAAATGACATCAAAAAGCACAGGCACAACAGTGATAACTTCCAAGGGGGCATAAAGTATTCTGAAGAGCTACCCTGCAAAGGATGACAAGGCCCTTCAAGAACATTGTGACAGTCAGGAAAACCTGCCAATCCACTGAAACAAAGTAGTACCTACCACAAGCTCTGTGCTTCATATGTAGGAGTAATGCACTTTCAGTGGACAAAAAGAGAAGGGGCGAGGGTGTGTACAGAACCACACATATATTTCATAACCTTTACTCTTTGGCTTCTCTGTGAGACCTATAGGACCAGACCAGTCCTATAAAACTTTGCAGACACTTCACATTTGCTTGCAGGTACACATACTCGAATCCAGCCGGCAAGTCCCTCCTTTTCCTCTCTTTCCCAAGCCATGAAAACACACTGGCCAACCTCCCAGTTCAATCCCTGCCTTAATTCTGTTCACCCCAGTGCTCAGGCACCAATCCTACCCTTCCTCTGGCTGCATGACAAGGGAGCACTCTTTTGAACTCCGCTGCCCGAGTGTCTCACTGAATGGAAGCCTGTCATCCCCCCTTCCCAAAAACCCACATATGTATCTTTTCTCTAAAATTCACAGCATGGCCAGGAAACTGCCTTCTTTCCCGTCCTGCCCACCTTGACAATCAGGCAACCCTCCTCGCTGTTGCAAGCGGCCAGGTACGGTATGATATGTCAGCCCTGTGGCTCAGCCAGGCTCAGCGCACCTCCTCAGCTGGGATCAGGCTGAGTAAGCCCACCTGACAGACAGTGCCAGGGAGGTTTGCTATTTATGTGAGGTTGCAAGCCCATGGTGAAGAGTGTGACATGAAGCAATGCTGGAAGGCAGCAATGCATCTACAGCAACAAACACAAACCAGGGAACAGGGAGCTGGTCTGGGAACCAGCCACACCTTGACTTGGGGCACAACTGTGAGGAAGTGCAGAAATGTTCTCCTGCAAGATATCTTTGCAGTGCACCATTCCCAACGCCAAGTACAGAGGAGTCAAGATGAAGCAGGCACAGAAGGGGCGGTAGTTCAGTGAGATGCCAGATTCTGTAAAGGCATCTGGGGGCATGGGTGAGATCACATTGCTTGCAAACCCCCACAACCACAGTCCTTTCCACAGCTGTGCCAAGGCCAACGTTTTCTGAGTCTCTCCTTGACACCTGTGGGCAAACAAGGGAACATAAGACCCACATGATCACCCTATGGCAGAAGTCCATGCTTCAACAGCACATCCCACGGCAAGTAAACAATCCAGCCGATGTGGATGCCAGAGCACTACTCAACTAATCTCCATTGCAAGAATCCACTGCCTGTTTAATCAAAGGCCCTGGCTTATAAAAGAAGGGTCTTCTCCACCACCACCCACACACCCTTAAATAGTAAGCTTTTATCATCCATGTGCCATATACAGTTTGCCAAAGGCAGAGGCCTAGCCTGGAAGTTCCCCAGATGCTGACAGGTCATGTCCAGCTGGTGTCTGAGACAGAGCTGAGGAAGGAAGCAGAGCCAATTCTCCTTCATCTGGGTAGTATCTCCTTGCCTCTTCTGGATGCTTCAGGGATATAACTCCAAAAATACATGTGCACTGGGGGCTAGCAGGAGATATAAAAGCCAGGGAGCCATCTGCTCTTTCCAAGCTTCCTTCCCATCTGGCTCGACACATCTCTTGGCCCAAAGTTCAGCACCATTCCTGTGTTCCTACTTGGCTCCATCCACTTCAGCTATTGAGTTCACAGGGGTCCCAGGATGCATGCAAAGGCAGATTCCTTTCCTTCCAAACCTACACCTTCTGCATATTACCCCAAAGAGTTTTATTGAAGGTGAGGGGTGGAAATAGATTTCTAACAGTTAACAGTTTCCCTACTTTTTTCTTTCCTGCTACAAATCAAACCATCTGCCTGTTTTTCTCAGGCTCCTCAGACTTCAGAAGATTCAGAACAATCTTCAAATCCACAGATGCAAACCGAAAGACAACAGAAATGCCCTAGAATGCAAAAATCATTGCATTACATCTCATTTAGCAGAGGACAGAAAGCCCTGGCTTCACCTCCCTCTATTACTTTCTGCCTCTCTCCAGGGTCACAGGGCCTGTGCACCAACTCTTCACACCAGGCGACACTCAGTCTCCAGGTCTATAGCAACCCAAAACCGCAGTCTTCAGATCATCGGCCTCCTGATGATGCAGTGTCAAAGTTACTCCCCATCTGCTGTCCTTAGGACAAAGTGAGCACACACCTCCAAAAGCCCTGAACATCCAGTGCACATCAGTAAGTAAACCTACTGGTTAAGACTCATTTCTTAGGCCCAGGGCACATTGCAAACGAAGTACATGGGCTACCTCTAAGCTTAATGAACTGAAGAGGGGCTTGTACAGATAGCAGAGGGGGGTGCAGGGGACAGGTGGAAGGAAGGGTGGTGGAGACATCGTGAAGAACATGGCAATGCCTTAGCCATGTGTGTATTTTGTAGGACAGGAAGGCATCTCCTAGCCTTAGGAAGGAGAGTGCTAACCTTCCCTCCTTTTGCACAGCACAAAACTTGCAAAAACTAGGGCTTACAAAAACAATCCAGGCAAGGAATGGGGAATAAATGTAAATTTTCCCAGTATTATACTGTCTGCAGTGAACCTGGCAGCATGTCACAGCAGGGCTATACACCTCAGTCTCACCATGACTTTCACCTGAGTATCTTTGCAGTAAAACCACCTCGGTAACTCTCCAAAAATATTCTGCAGCTCTTATTGCATTCCCAGGTCAGACAAACTTCCCTCCAGCTCACTAGAACAGAGATCTAGTGCCCCAAAGAACAATTGCTTACAGATCCAAAAATTCTGGGAACACAGAGAGAGGAGGGCAGCACCATGAGGTAATCACTCAAGCAGGGGTTTGAAGGACAAACATGCACACAAGTAAGTCAGACGCATGCTCAGTTTATTCTGGAACAAATTCATGCCTTTCAGCAGTCCCCAGAGGCCTAGATGCAATGAAACAACAGACCCAGATTCCCTACAAACACCATAGGGATAGGCACACCTAGTTTATCCTGTTCAGATGCGGAGCAGTTTGCCAGGAGAGGGGATGGACTTGATGCCACTGGACAGACAAACAGCCTTCAGGAAGTTTTACTCAGGTTAACCCTGCATGTAGACCGGGAAAAGGACAAAATGGACACCTCTGATTTCCAGTTGTTGTATTTTGTATTTCCTGTCCTACCCTATTCTAAGAAGAAACTAGACATTTTAGTAGATCCCTTATACCCCAATGCTGAGAAAGTTTCTTACTATACCACATGACAGAGCTTCGCTCTCTCTGTCGATACTCTCAAGTTTATTGGCAAGAATATTTACAGGACATAATTTCAAGTAAATATTACAGAACATGGCCAAAATACAGATTTTCTGCATGCTCTTACACTGCATACCTGGTTTTAAAAGAAAAGGAAAAACCAAACTCCTCACAGAGAACAAATATTCCACAGGAGACATTTCTCAGGTAAGAGTATTCCAGCAAGCCACTCCCAAACAAAACCATGAACGAGGCACAGGCATTACTGGCAAATATCAAAAACACTGCTGAGAAACATCACAGACACCTTGCAACAACACCCGGGCTGGGCAAGAAGAAGGAAGGAGAAATAAGCACTGAAGGCATCAGATCTGTCAGAAACCACTTCTCTCAGATCTACCACAGCTCACGGATTTGGGTTCTGATGGTCAAACACCCACACACTTTGGAGTTTGAGGAGAAGCTGAGAAAGCCTGTAATGAAAAATAAAAATTGGGATTTTCCACTCATTCTGCTACTGCATCTTGCTCCAGCAAGCATGCCGAGTACTGCCAGCCCTGTTCTAAGGTCATGCTTTCTGCAAAGTCCTCGCTTAGGAATTTTAAGTAGCAGTTCAGAAATGAGTGTTTTGAGAAGTGGGTAACCAGTTACTCTGGAGACCAGCAGTGTCACAGTATCTTCATAGACCTGGCCATGCCACCTCTAACTTTCCATCTCTCTCCCTGCCTGCTCAAGTGCTTCTAATCACTATATGCCATCCAGCAGCTTCCTCTAAAATGTGTGTACACACCATTTATTAAAGGCTAGCAAACACAGATAAGTCAGTCCGTGCTATGAGGCATGACTTGACGTGTGGCTCAAAGGAATGCCTCTCCCCACTTCTCTCTCTCCCCAGCTATGCCACTCTTGCTTTTATTTATTTGAGCTGGGATAGCTCAGCCTATCTTAGGGCCTGCGGCAGCCTCACTCAGTGGCAGGATGCAGGGTCTGTTACCAGGTGCACTGGTTCTGTTACAGATTTCCTACGTAGTCTCTAGCAAGTCCCCTACAATATAATGATGCTGAATTTATCATAGAGTAATATGGGTTGGAAGAGATTTCCGGAGGTCATTAAGTCCAGCTCCCAGCTCAAAGCAGATCCAGCTCGATTAGGTTACTCTGGGTCTTGTCCAGTCTATGCCAGTTAAACCTTGGAGGCACCTCTCTTTGTTGGTTTAAAATGGGAGTAAAGCTAATCCCGCCCCACCTTCTGGCAGCCTGTTGTATACATTGCTTAATGCATGGATCAGCCCTTGCCTTGCACCCAGCACATATTGGGCCATTTGAGGTTGATAATACCGGGAAAGGCCTGAATTAGATGGAATAGAAAAGCTCGACTGCTGATCATCCACATGGCCTCGGAGTCCTGGACAGCCATGGGTCTACTACAGGATGACAGATACAAACACTTAAGCTCTGAAGACAAGGACTCTGACAAATAAGCTCTAGCAAGCCCATCTATGGTTAACACATTTCTATCTCATATATCATGCTCAGAGCTGCAGATCTTATCCTGTGGATTTCTAACCTTAACAAAATAACAAAAGACATCTGGAAAAGAAAAATCACACCAGGGATAGTACATCCTAAACACCTGATGGTCCAGGTCTAAAAACATCATTTCACCTAGGTGAAATTTCCCCAAGGGAGAAACGGTCCTAAATGCTGGTAGCCTGACTGCCGGAGAAGCTGAGAGATGGCAGTCAGCAAGGGTTGTTGCAGAGTTCAGTACTGCGTGGAAGCACTAACGCCCACCCGTGGTTTCTCCCCTAAATGCAGACACATGGAAGCAATCTGCCTCCCACAATACAGGAGAGAAACCGTACCCTTTCCAGAACAGTCCAGGACAGGTTTAGAGCAGGATGACGGTCTCTGGACAAGAGCCGGTAGCTGTACTGGCTCTAAAGATACTAGCTCCAAAGCTGGGCTATGCAGAGATATACTAACTTCACACCATCGCACCTTTCATTCATGCACCCACAGCTGTCACGCGTACCTCAGGATCCTCTTCAGATGGGCTGTCAGCCTTGGACAGTCCTATATGCTCGTTCCTCACCTTCCCTGGGCCAGGATTTCCACAACACATAACTCCTGCCATGAGCTTCCCATGTAGGTCATACTCATCCCATTTCTGTTCTTTGGGACTCCAACAACCAGGGCTTTGCAGACCCTTTATTTTCATTCTGCAAATAGGGAATACAGTTCACCACATAAAACCTGGAGTGAGTCAGTCAGGTCAGAAAAGGGACCTCTTCTGCAAGACAAAGGGCAGGGTTAAGTCCTGGGGTACAACAGGGTTTCTGTTCTCATTGCTGGCTGCTGAGATGACTGTAGCTTGAGCTCTAAATATTCATGCTGGAAGGACTAAGCTTAGGCTAGCTGCTGTGGATGGGGCTGTGCCAAATCCAGCCAGCTCCTAAGAGCAAGATCTTAGGCCCACAGCAAGTGTGTTTAGACCTCCGTCTTCCAACTTTCAGAAAGCACAACAGTTTGGGCCAAGCCAGCATCTGAGCCTGAATTTGCCTGTTAGCTCCAGGAGTGGAGTACAAGAACAACCTGGTTTGAAGGCTGCAGCATGGATGAAGATACACAATCATCATTCCCATGCCACACAAGTGGGTGATAGGAGAGAGAAGGATCTCTTTGTTTTTCATCCTCCAACTTCTCTCACACCACCCAACAGCTTCACCAGCAGTACAACCACAAAGTCTGCCACTACAGACCCTTAGAGCCAGTCCTGCTCAGAGAACTGAAATTCCCTCTCCATGAATTCCTGCACTGTGCATGTCTTTCACCAAAAATTCCGTCATCTCCTCTGGAAAAACAAAACAAGCCAACAACTTCCCCAGTCACGAGAAGATGAGCTCAGATGTGACTTTGAGTGGCTGCACTGAGCCACTCGGAAACATCATGCGCTCAGCCGATAAAAGGCAATATCCAGGTGCAACATCACCCACCACCCAAGGTGGAATTTTCCCACCAGCTCAAAACAAAGCTGCAAAGCAAAGAGCAGGATGAAGAAGCCAAAATGAGGAAAGGACGAAAACACCAAATCTGAGGTCACCATCAAAACCAAACCAAATGGAAATCTCCAGACAGAACCATTAAAGTCAAGAGGAAAAGAAGCATGAACCAAGAGAGATTCAGGATGAAATTCTCAACTCAGAACAAAACAAAATTCGCTGAGAAACAAAACAAGAGACAAAATGAGACTCAAGCAATGCTAAAGAAAGTTTTGAAAAAGAGGTGTTCTCACCAGAGAAATATTTAAAAAGTATTTTATTTTAGAGAAATATTTACTTTTTATAAAAATTAGTATTGCCTAACCAAAAAGAAACTAAACTCTGATTCCAAACTCACATGTGTCCTCATGCCAGCGGTCAGGTCCCAAAAGTCAGATATTGATACATTTCCAAACTGCAGAATTTCTAAGCCAGTCTAAGGCTGTTTATTTGCCGTCTGGATTTTAAAGCTATAAACCAAGTTTTCCATTGTGTTTGGTTTTGATTTCAACATCCTATCTGGAACATTCAGCTCATGTTTTCATGTTTTTCTAAGTAACCACAAGTGTGAGAAAATGGAGACTATTATGCAATATCTTCCTTCCAGCAGCTGGAATTTTAAGAAAAAAAATATATACAACATCCTGAGACTGCTGACAAAACCATAAGGCTTGGTAACCACTGCAATATGCCATAAAAAAAAATGCTGTCCATTTCCTCTCCACACATAACTCTCTTATTTGTATAATTCAGCTTCTCTTCCAAAGGTTTACTGCAGCGTTCACTGAACCAGTGTACTAAAATGAACTATTTGTAACTTCTTTAAAGAATTTCCATTAAAGCATGACTTGGATGGCTCAACAAGCAAATATCACTGATGCTACACCTGTCACAGACAAACAAACAACATCTGTGCTTGGATGTGATCAAGACATTGTTTTACGGAGAAGCAGTGCTCCCAAGACCATCACAAATCCACATGGTGCCTGTGAGTGCCAGATTTTATGTTCACATCTCAAAGTAAACTCAAAGAAGTGGAAAATCACAAGTAGACACAGAGCCCCTTAATGATTTCATCAACACCTTAGAAAACAAAACACTCCCGTGCTGTGTTTGTTCTGACATGAAATATCTAAGCCTCATGAAAATGCAAGAGCTGGAGCATGTAAATAAATTATGAAGCAAGTTCTCCCACTCTAGAAGAGCCCTGGCTCCTTTTTGCCTGTGGATATTCACACACAGATGCACGCTAGCATATGCTGATCTTTCAATATGTACGCCCCCAGACTCACCCTAACTTTTGAAACATTTCCCCTGACCTGCACCAGGTTTACAACTGCAGGAGTCTTTCTGCTTTGAAGCACCCTTACAGGTCAGACAGCCTTCCAGGGGGCATATGTCCATCCAGGGTTTTGGTGCTGTGACGCAGTTGTGTTGCAGCTCTGTTGCAAAAGCAGGATTCTTTGGGGCTAAGAAGCTGTTCTGATGATCACTGAAGATAGACATTCTTTAGATATAAGTTTCTGGTGAAAATCTGGATAGCAAAAATGCTTCAGTCAGAATGCAACCTATTTCAGCTAGAAGTAGAACTCACTTCGCAGCTGCTGCAGCATTGGAGCCAATTCTCATTCATGCTAAAGATCCTTTATGCTGCTCAGGAGAAAGACAGGACATTTCATATGGCACCAGCATTAATTCACACCCCATTTAAAATCCCTGCATGCTGGAGTGAGAATCAGGCTCTGCACCCAGAGCAGGGAGCTCAGCAGGAGGGAGGGAGTGTTTTGCGGATAAGATCTCCGTCTCCGAGCTGGCTGTTCAGTTCTGCTGGTTTGCTTCTCAGCGAGACGGAGCTCACTGCATATGTCAGAAAGCACAAGCAGAGCTTCTGGCTTGCCTTGGCAATTCTGCCTAACCCAGCGCTCCCAAGAATGAAACCAATGCCCCGGGGGCCTCTTCCAAACTACCTTGAGCTGCTGCAGTCTCTTGTTGCAAACAGGGACATACATGGCGGATCTGTACTTAGGACTGCTACAAGCTTCTATTTCTAGCTTGGGGTGATCTTGTTTGATGTAATGCTGCTGCCCAGTGCACCCAGAGCTGCTCCTGACCAGAGAAGGGATAATGTTGCAGAACAGGCTTGTATCCCCAGGCTAGGATAATATTTCTGGACCGCTAACTCCAGCCAGGGTCAGAAGGAAGCCACATTGGACTGAAAAGTGCCAGAGATGTGTCCTGAGTTACCTGGAGTAAAATTATTCTCCTGGTAACCACCTGGATTTTGAAGGACTTCCTTCTCTTCCCTGGCACTATGTGACTCAGTTTCCAACAGACACTGCACACAACCTTTGTGGATCCATCACGGGAAAGATCCTAGGCCTAAGAAGAGGGGACTTGCCAGGCAGCGCGTGCTTCCACTTTCCACTTCTGGAGGTGTGGTTCCTCTCTCTATGCCACAGAAACTTTTGCTGACGAGGTCCTCTGACAGATCAGCTGGGGACATGGATGGAAGTTACACCGTTCTTGATGCTGCTTTTTAAGAACCTCCAAGAAAGGACATTCATTTCTTTCCCAAGTAACCTAGTCCACTGGTTTGCTATCCTCACCCTTGGAAACATTTTTCTGATCCCAAATGCTGATGCCCCTTGCTATGATCTAAGACTAATATAGCTTGTCTTCAGCTAGCATGAACACAAAGAACACATTACTCTTCCACCGCTGACCTCACATATGTTTGGAGATTGCTATAACCTCTGAAGTCCTCTCTTCCTTAAACTAAACAACCTTCTAATTCCCTCTGTCTTCCCTTGAAGACCATGCTTTCTAGACTAACACGAGCTTTTACCTTTACCTATGGTCCCCAGTTCCCCTATCCTGTGACTGCACATCAGTGCTCAGCATAATGAAACCTGCAGGGAACCTACCTTCCAAGGCATCTTGCAGGACTCCAAGCAAGAAGCAAGACGAGCAGTGAAAATTAAAAATAAAAAAAGAAAAAAAAATTGCAATAAAAACTCCCACAACACTAAGCTGTGGCACAATGTACCACTCCAGGAAGCAGGGAGCTTGATGATTCTGCACCATCTTCTCCAAGAGAGCACCCTGGGCTTTGAACAGCATTGCCTCTTGGCCGCAGCTACAGCCAAGCGTGGCCCTCACTCATCATCTCCACACAAGGTGAGGAGGGGAAGAAGCCAGTCTTTGGGGCAGAGTCACACAGCTAACACCCGCTGGTCTGAGGCTCTAGAGGTAGGGGCTTTTTAAAATATCTGGCTACTGCTGCTTTTTTGAGGTATGGACTTTAGGTACTGCTGGCAGATAGGTCCTTTGTTGAAGTGGCTCTAAAGCAGGACAAGAGAGACTAGATCTGATGCGATGTGAGTGTTTTGACCTCTAGTGCCTTATGCTCCCCAACCCTCAGTTCCTTTGGGATCTCTGTCAGGTATAGGGCACCACAGAAAAGGGGTGTCTAAACAAAAATGGAGGAGATTGAGCAAATTGAGAGCAGTTGCAAGGATGGGCCCTTCAGTCTCTGCTGGAGCAGGGAGCTGAGACTATTTGCAGATACATCTCTGCCAAGATGCCACGGGGGGTGCCCACAAAGGGAAGAACTGCTCCTTGGCTGACGTCTCACAGGCTCCAGGTGAGCCAGGGCTTCCTCAGGCTCTCAGCATGGGTAAGGAACAGGGAGGAGAGGCACAGAAGGAAGGCAAGACATCACATCGGCCCCCAAAAAAGGGAGCGCAGTCATTTTTCCAAACTCAATATAGTGTTCAGACTGCTCATCCAGGACTAATTTTTCAGTTACCAGTTTCACATATTAATTGAACTAAACCAATTACCCATCTTTTCCTCCAAGTGTGGAAGACTTGTCTCCTCAGCAAAGCAGAAATGTGGGAGGATGGCATATGTGTTTGTGAAAGTGCCAGATAAGAGGGGGAAAGGAGCCAGGCACTGGAAGGGAGGAGAGTGGATGGAAAAGGCCAGAATTACATTGTTCAGGGCAGTTGATGCTTCAGCCCTGTAATTAAACAGGAAAAGTGATATCACTGGTGATTACAAACTCAAATTAGTACAAAACTAAACCTACTGCATGTGCCAACACTGTTTCTAGAACCGTAAGTCACAGATACAAGCAGAAGTGCCACATTCTTCTGTAGGACTACTAGCAGCGAGGCTAGTGCTTCAGGCAGACCCTCTCAAGCCCTGCTATTCCATCAGCAAGACTGTCCAAACCACCAGAGAGAGGAAAACTGCATCGCTGCCACCAAATTTCCACCTGCTTACTGTGTTTTCTCTCATTAGCCAGCCTCAATATTGCTAGCCTCAATGTTCCCGCTTTCATAAGAAGCCTGCAATGAAGGGGCAAAACTCATCCAAGCACTAAAAGAATATATTTTTTTTTTAAAAGGCAGAGCAAGCACCACAGAGTCTGGCCCTTACTACAAGAGCTGGGATGTGGTGGAGACTGAGGGACTTTTTTGCCATGTTGGCCACTATTTCCTCATCCTTGGACTGGTGTGAAGGATGGGAGCTCTCTGGTGGCAAAATGTGAATTTGCAAAGATGGACTTTCAGTGGCCCCACTGCTTTTCCCCGCTCATGTGGAAGGCACAGGAGCAACAGAAAAACAGTCCTGTGCTGCCCTCTCCTAAAGCACTGAGAGCAGTCAGACCTAAACATTGGACAAGATGCTTTTTAGTGCAGGGGTGCCCGTTTCAGAGCCTGGCACAACTCCTAGCTCGCAGCCTGCTCCTCACAACTCTGCAGGCCTTTCTCCACCCCAGGCAGGCAAGCTGTGCTGGGACACATGTTCACAGCCCAGGAGGCACCTGCATTTGGTTACATGACAAAAGCAACAGCAACCAGCCAGATGAGTGTTTTCTAGTGGCTGCTGGGGCTCCAGTCCAAAGAAAACAGGGGACAGCACTGCTCCAGGAGTCCAAGACGCTAGTGAGAGAACAGGAAAGCTGATGGGATGTCTCATGGGAAGCCAACAGCAAAAGGAAAGGGAAGTGCGTGAAACTGGTCTGCTTGGAGAAACACCAGCAGCTGTGTAACCTGCCAGCCGAGGGGAGAAACACCTCAGTCCTCACCATCCAGGTTTCACAAGACCCCACAACAGAAGCAAGACCCAGCCAAGAAACAGGAGAATTTGGGTGAGAAAGAGCTTGGACTGCCATGATTTTCACAAAACAACACATAGGCCTCCATTTTTCTCCACCTGGTTTTTGGCACTGCCTTCTTAGGGAACAGTCAAGCTCAAGTGTCCAGTAGCCCTCAAACAGCTGGGGCCTCAGGGGATCTAGAGGAGTCAAACCACCCCATCTCATACAGACAGCTCACGTACAAGGCTCACTTCTTAAGGCCCACCTTGACACCTGGTTCTCAGCTGTGTGCCACTGCTCCTCTCTGCTTGAAGATCAGCAGATCCACAATCTGGACATATCTGGCATATCTTGTCCCTCCAAGGGACCTGGAAAAGAGAGACAGCAGTGATATGCCACCAGTCCTTTCTGGCACATACTCTGAGCCACAAGCCCCAGCACGCAGATGAACGATGCCCATGCAACCTTGGACAGCTGTTCCCACCTCCTGGCCCAGGGCAGAAGCCTGCTGCCCCTCCACAAGGTGTAGTGAACGCCAGGAGTCTTCATGGGTTCAAGTGGTGACGAGTCAAAATCAGGAAGGATGAAATCCACAGAAGGTTATTCAAAATAGAAACACGATGCCAAACTCAGGATGTTCCTGCCTGCACATTGGAGGCTGGCAGAGCATCTAGCTGATCTCCTGCTGCCAGCTCACTGCCTTTGTCCGCCCTTCCCCAGGCACCTGCTGTCAGGAAGAGGACACTAGGCTAGACAGACCTCTGATCTGACCTAGGACAGCTCTAATGGGAGTGGAGCTGCCACATGTCAGGCTCTACTAGAGTCTGTCCTTGGGCAATTCCCTCTGCAGCTCTGTAACGCTCCTTCCAGTCTGAGAAACTGTACCATGCTCCAGGAACAACCTGAAGCTGGACAAGTTTGTCAGCTTAAGCCTCTCTGCAAGAGGTGGTCACAGCAGATGGGGAGAAACAAGCACATCAGACACGTAGGGAAAGCTGCAGAGGGGCCTAATGCTGCGAAAGAGGAAAAAAAAAAAAAACAACCAAGGGAAAAAAAAAAAAAAGAGTTGGAAACTACTAGTTTGTATCTGGTTGAGAAAGTCAGCACTGCTCTCCGACAGACGTGCGGACAAATTGCTTTCATGCCACCAGATGGTGCCCTGCCTTCAGCCACCAGCAGGCAGCTGGCCTGGCAGGGGACAACCGCCCTCTGCTCTCCCGTTCCACCTGCATTTGACGGGCACTGTCCTCAAAACTGCAACTGGCAAACCAGCCTTGCTTTGCCCCAGGGCCCAGCCTCCCCGGCAGGACATCTCACGTCTGCAGGGCCACCTCCACCCTGAACCGGGCTGATGCTGACTTTGAATCCAGGACCGAGAGACTCGGGAACCTGGAGAGGAGGGTAAATCAACCGCCTGCCCAGAGGCAAGGCCCCTGGAGCTGGAGCAAAGGTCAAAAGTACATTTTTGAGCACTGCGAGAGCAAAGCATCGTCTGTTGGGAGAAAGACTTCTGTGGCTGGGGATCTGACAAGGGAAGCACTGTCCGGGAGTTGTGTTTTGGTTACATTCAAGTCTTTTTGAACCAGCAGAAGTGCCAGAGCCCTGGGGAAGGATTGCAGGGTAGACTGCACAAGGAAGTTGCTCTGCCAGGCCACATTTAGCCCATACACCATTGACTGGCAACCCGTGCTTCCTGGCCTCCTTCAGAAATGCAGCTGCAGTCATGCTCCTTGCCAGCACCCACGTACAGCTTGTTGGGTAACTGCCCATCAAGAGATCTGAGCAGTGCTACTCAGGCAATGCAATGGCTCAGAAAGACACCCTTGGTTGCTGAAGACTGGAAACACACAGGCTCACCAAGCTGCTTCATCCTACCAGACCAGCTAGCCTTTCTCCAGCCGGAGGAGTGCCAGAGGAGAGCCAGCACACCAAGCACAGGCCACCGTCACAGATGCAGGCGCAGAACAGATCTAAAGAGGCCAGTGGGAAAGGGCTGCTCCACTCACGCTGCCCTGTTTGTCAGTGAAGACTTCCCCACAGCCGCTTCATTGGACAGGACTGACCACATAGCTCACCGTGGCCCAGCTATCAGCCCAGATGGCTAGCAGAGCTATAGCTATCAAGCCACTCTTGACCCCATTCTTGATCTATGCATAAAGACCACATCCTGCTGCGATCGCACCCACAACACAGATAGGAGAGAGGTCAGGGATACTGCCAGAGGTTCCCATCCATGGCTGTGTGCTGTCTGCCTGCACACTTGCAGGAAACACAGCGAGACCCTCCTCTTTTCCAGTTTGTCTCTCTGCAGTATCCTCCCACTCCTCCACCTCACCTCGCACAGTCCAAGTGGCAGAAGCGGTAGGAGTGTTGTCTATCTATGTGTGAGGCAGGTTCACCAGGAAAGCAACACCCTTTTTTAGACTACCTGATACATTGGAAGGTAAAAAAATAAGCGAGTGCAACCTGGTGTGCTTGCTCTCCCTAGCACCCACCCATAACACTGCTGGCACAGCCAGCTCTCATAGCCCTTAGACCCATCCAGTCCCAGGCTGTGGGCAGATTTGTCCTGCTGCCTGCCCCAGTTGTGTTCCACAGGCACTGGCAGGGCTGTGGCTTCTCACCAGTGTCACAGCAGCCAGGGCTGTGCTTTGGAAAGGAGCGTTTACCTCTCCATATCTGCCCCTACAACTCAGGCCTCCAGTAACCACCCTAAATTCTCAGAGCATCCCCCTGGTACAACACCACATTCCCAGAAATCACATTCAGTGCTACTTCGGACAGTTTTGAAGGGGCTTTCTCTACCCTCTAGCAAATCCTTCCCAGCTATCAGGCTGCTGTTGATGAACACCCATCATGCTGACTAATATGGTCTCATTGCTTCCTTTTTCATTACCCCATGCGTTTCTTATCTTATGGTTAGACAGTAAGCAGATTAGGGTGGGGATTTTCCAGTCTATGCCTGTACAGCACCTTGCACGATTGGTGATAGATGTGGTAGGGTTAATTCACATGCCATCTAATCTTACCCTCAGGAGCCCCCCTTATGAACTCCCAGTTTTAACCACCCCAGTAACAAGAGCCAAGCTCCCCCCATTCCTGAGAGCTAAACCTAGACAGGTTCAACAAGTGGTCACAGCCGCAACAAACACAAACAGGCCTGGAGTTCCCAAGCTACAAGAAAGAGCTGTCCTGCGGAAGCAACACACCACCAAGAGGTTTCTTCATTATTCTGATGCAGCTGAGCGCAAACCCTATCATAAAAAACCAACCTGCTACAACAACCTTCTGTCTGGGTCACCGTGTGAGAGGAGTGGGGGTTAATCTAGTCATGAAATAAAAAATTATTAATGACATTGCAGATAGATCTCAGCAGCAACCACCTCCACACCTGGAACAAAGCCCACATAAGCCGTAAGTGCTTATTCTCCAAGAAACTCGTGCAGCCATGCCGCATTCGATGTAGTAGCGTTATCATCTTACATGCGCAGAGAAGAGATGGCCTAAAGGTTAGGGTGTTACCCTGTAAAGGCAGTGAAGACTTCATCAGACTTACCACAGATTTCCTGCCCGAGGCTGGGAAAGTCATGCAGCCTGTCTCGGCTCAGCCCTCCCCCTCTATAAAAGGGGTTGCGCACACAGTCGTGTCTCACAGCAAAAGCTCAGGAGCGTAACCGCACTAAATGCTGCAAAGCATTCGGGTATTACAGCCAGAGATGCTGCTTAAAGCTTTACCCACTGGTTAAGAGGAGTTCATGGCCTCAGTGTGCTCAACATGAACCTCCCTCCTCCAACTGAGGGGGATTTAAGATCCAATTCACGTGCATGCAGGGAAACCAACACATCATTGTAAGTTTTGCTTGTTGCCTATTTTGAGGATTTAAGCGAGAGTTGAGTGGCTAGTCCTTAAGCTGATTCTGGGGCAGGATGCATTTCATTCTCGTCATACAAAGTACTTTGGACAGGCACTTTAGTGGCAACAAAAGCGAAAAAAAAAGGAAAAAAAATTAAACAAGCCAGGTAGGAGTAGCTTGATGACATTCTTGCATATTTAAATTAACATGGGGCTGTTCCATTCCTGAGCTGCCGCCCTGTGTTATTCCCTCCTACGTCCTTCTAGCGGTGAAAATGCCCCAGAGGTAATGAAGCATCGGTCTACCTTCCCCATCACACTCAATCCAGAATGGTTCTGATGAGGGTGATAAAATTAGCCAGGTTTTACAGCAGTAAACAGGGCCAGATTTTGGTCCAGTTGTTCATAGCCTGCAGAGTTTTTACAGTACAGAAATTAAAAGGCCTGCAACCTGCAGCAATCGTGGAAGCTGAGAGCAAATTAAAAAGAATACAAGTCCTGGCATTCATCCTCAGCAATTTAGGACAGCCTTTTCATTAATGTAAAAATAGCATGTATTTATAAGCAACATTCAGCTCCAATCTCCACTAAATCTCAAATTGCATTATAGAAAAGGCAGTAACAACATTAACACTTTGCAAATGGGAAACTAAGGCAAAGGGGAAAAACAGCCTGCCCAGCCTCACCCCATAGGCTAGGGCAGGGGTTTGGACCAGACTCCGGGCTCTTGGTCCCTGCACGCTACCTGCTGTGCCACACCACCTTCTCGGAAAAGGAATGGAGCATCAAAGCAGTTTCTGGAAATCACCTTTAGGTTCTCCTCCTCCCCCAAAATTTCCCCTTAAATTTTGATTCCGGTGCATCTACTAAGCAGAATGTTTCAGCAATGGGCTTCTCAGTGCTTTGTTTCTGCCAGTGAAATAGCTATGACTGTAAGGTTTACAGAGACTTTCTGTTCCTGTCTAAAATTATCTTTGCTGAGCCTTGCGACGCCAAGAGCACAGAGCCAATATTCCATAAGCCCTGAGAAAAACGGACTGCATTTCAGGCACATTCAGCTCGCATGGTTACAGTAGCATCCATCAGCCACGACCAAAGCTCAGGGCCACCACCACGTCAGGCCTCGCACAAGGGGACGTTGCCCGTTTCTTTGCTGCCTGAGACAGCACATAAAGTCAGGGCCTGATCCTGCCGTTCGGGTGCGCTGCGGTTGCAGGGTGGTTGTCCAGCCAAAGAGGAGTCTCTGCGATCCCTGTTCAAACTGCGAGATCAGGGTGAAAGGGTATGAAAAGACAGCAGGTGGATACAGACAGATGGGGGAAGCGGGGGCTAACAGGGAGACAACAGCAATTAGCATAAGCAGCGGCAGTCTCAGCTCACCAGCTGCTTTGCCAATTGTCTGCCTCCCTGATTTTCAACAGCAAAGCAGCAATTTGCCTAAGAGCACAGTCAGTAGCTAAAACTGCCCCTCAGAACTGAAAGTAACGGGGGAAAAAAAACGATTTCCATGGTACAAAAGCAAGGCTTGCAGGGCTGTCATGTAGGAGTTTGCCTAAGTAAGGCATGAGGCAGGCAGCTCAAAACAGCCACCAAATACTTCAGAGTGAAAGGCTAAAAAAGGAAGGTTTTAGAGGAGGAAATGAGTCAGTAGCTTGGAGGACGGGAGGGGGAGTTCAAATAGCTGAGGCATATAAAGTAAGCAAGTAGTCACCATCTCAAATGCTAGAAAGTCGGTGAGGTGGATGTATTGATCTTTGGTTTCTGTTGATGCAGGGTCTCATTTGCAAACGGGAGTCCATGGGTGACTTTTTGTATTGACCATGCTGGGTTTTGAAGCGGTCCTTCACTGGACAGATGCTTGTCGGCTGCAATTCACGACGGTGTTTCAGACTGGAGCCAAAGCGGTCACCACCAGCTACAGGATTGCTGAAATTTCTTGGGCTCCCCCATGGCTGGGGGGTGGATTTTCTGGAGGGAAGTTTCAGGTTAATTGCAAATGCCATTTGCCTTAAGAGAGGGAGGGAGATTCACCTTTCGAGATGGTTTGTCCAAACATCCAGCTTGAGCTTTCAGCCTAGCTTATTTACAGCTCTAACACTAGGGAAAAAGGACAAAGCTTATTCAGTGTTGAAAAGCAGCAAAGCTAGTAAAAAACCTCCGTCTCCAAAATGCTGTAGCAATCAACAGCGTTCATTTTTTTCTTCATAACAACCTTGTATTGCACTGAAACCCTGGGTGAGTCTCAGCTCCTGGAAGCCTTAACCTTGCTCACGCGTACACCACCACAGCAGCTGGCTGTGCATTAGTGGAGCAGTAAGCCATGAGAGGGTTAGTGTCAGTCTGGCAATAAGCCACAAGGCACAACTTCCTCACCTCTGCCCCACGTCCCTGTCCCGTCAAAAGGGCAGGACTGATGAAAAGGGAGCTAGTAGAAAGCGGCACCAAAATTCCCTCCTGCTGTCCCCAAAACAGGGAGCTTTCCCTCGGTTCAGGCACCGAGACACCAGCTACGTAGCTGCTGCACAAGGACCCTGCTGCAAGCCCTCTCTGAGGGAAACTGCAGCACTGCAAACGCTTGGGGTGATGCTTAAGGTCACAGGCATGTGAGGAATGGGCTGCTGAGTTGGGAGAGCAGCACAGAACTGGAAAAACACTCCCTTTCCCCTACACAAGCAGCAGCACGGGATTTACATACAGTAGGGGTTCCCAAACCATGACATACGTACTGTTAATCACCGGCAGGCAGCTCCCGGTGCCAAGCTAGAGCTCCCAGTGCCTGTGCTGGTACAGCACGCAGAGCCTGTGGAGCCCTGTGCTAAGGCAGGAGGGTACCACCATACGCCACGCACTTGTCAGCGCGTCTTGGCGCACAGCTCCTGCCTCTAGCTTCTTCAAAGCACCACAGCTGCTGTGTTTATGCCTCACAAGGCTATGCTGTTTTGTCTTTTGGGGAATGAAACCTTTTCAAAAAGCCACTGTGGTTCTCAGAAAGTGCCCTTCCCAGAGCAAGCACATCTTTCCCATGAGACAGAAACAAGTGAGAGAGATCTCCCTTACTCTGCTGGTGAAGGAGTTCCTGTCCTTGCTGAGGTTCCTTTAACTAGTTAGATGCCTTCTCAACCCACTGCAGTGTTTCCAAAAATGCAACAAGACCTCCTGGAACAGACTGAGCCAACAGGCCAGCTCCAACTCATTTTCCCTTATAAGTATACAGCATGAAACAGCCCCAGCCCTGTTTTCATGGCCTTACATCATCCCTTCCCCTCCTCCCCAGAATGTCTTACTTCTGTACCCCTCTTTCCTAGCGAAACCGATCTATGAAGAGAAAGCTTGGAACAATAACGGACAAATTACCCACATCAATTAAGACTAAAAAGCACAGCTGCCCCAGGTCTCCATTACGTGCCACCGGAGATGGAGGTCTGCTACGGCACTGTGCATCGCCAAACAGCACCTGCCTTGATTTTCTCTCCCAGCCACGCAGCATGCACTGCCACCAGGCTAACAGTCACAGCAGAAAGACAGGACCAGAACAAGTTGTCCAGAGAAACATATTTGTAGGACTGAAGCTGTACTATTAGACAGGCATTTTATCTGACTTTAGAACTGTAAGTTTAAAAAAACAAGAACAAAAAACCAAACATGTTCCTACTCAATTCTTGTTACTGCTTCCAAAGTCAGTTAAGACTTTGGTCCAAATTTAAGCATTCCTTGACTAAATATGTCAGAAAAGAGCCAGGGAGGAACTACCCACCCACCCCAATTTAAGTCTAAGTCATACTGGTAGGTCTTTTGCTAGTTTCACCACAAATCTGATGCAAACGCTCTTGCAAAAGGGATCCCTGGCCAGCATAAGCCACCCAACAAAAGAGCCTCACACAATAGGACTGCTTTTTCAACACATGCATCTTCAACATGGGGTCCTTCAGCAACTTCTGTCCAACGTGAACAAGCGTAACAGCATTTAAAAGGGCATCTACTGGGGTATGCAGCAAGGAGGGAAAAAAATCAAAATGTAAGACCCTTAATTAGAACAACAATATGGATGAAAACTTAAGATATGTCTCACACCTTTATTATTGCAGCTTTATGCTAGCTGTAACCTGATATGAAGTATTGCTGCCTCATACCCCAGCCCTGAAAACATGCAATCGAGTTGGTTTTGTTTTCTGCTTACAAGCAGGCACAGAGACCCAACAAAAAAGCTTGATGCCAGGGGCTCTTTGCTCATCAATTCAAGCCAGGAACACCACTGCAGTCAGGATCCAGTGATGAAACCTAACTGTCTATACATTTTTTAACATTAGCAGGTGCTTCTGTAATCTGGTTACAAAAAGCCCGAGCTTCATTGCCCAGAAACATTATGGAAATAATATTTTTGTAGCATTTCAGACTGAGCAGTACTGCAATAAACACAGCAGCTTCTCCAAGCCCCCCGGTCTCAGCAGCAGCGTTTTCTCAGCGGTCAGCTTTGTCCCGAGGACAAATCGTTCATTGTTTCAGCCACCTGAAATAGATGCCGCTCTGATTCATGCGGGGACGCTGCTGGTGCTCCTGTTAGCGCCGCTTCTGTTAGTGC